ATTTATAATAACAAAGATTACTTTATTTATAAAATTTTTCATCTTTTCATTATTCTTCAACTTTTCATTATTCTATATCAGAATGAAAATTTATTATATCAGAATGAAAAAGTTATAATATATAATAGATAAATCTAATCATAAATAACTATTGTAATTATATAATAACTATTTAATTATTAAATTTTTTTATTTTAAATAATATTTGTATATTCATATTAACGGTAAAAATCTATTTATATATATGCAACAAGCAAAATTCGAAACGACACAGTCGAAGCATAAGTTAGTATTTAAAAAAATTGATTATCATAATATCTCGAATAATGCGATGCTTGTATAAATTTTATATATAATTTTTTTTAGATTTGTTCCTAATAAATTCTTCAATGAACTTATTCAATGCTCAATCAGCATATTCAAGATAAACAAGTAAAATAATAACAAAATATTATCGATTTATGTTTCGACTGTTATTTCTTCAACTTGATTCATGCTCAATCTATCTATATATAAATGAAATTCATATAATGAGAAAATTATATATATATAGTAATTATCATGCTAAGTTTCATAATTTTATTATAAACAAAAAAAAAAAACTTAAAAATAAAGAAAAGAAATAGCATAATAGTAAAAGAAAAATAAGTTTTCCAAAGGAATCAGAACAATGAAAAATGTAGTGTTGTATTTATAGATTGTATACTAATTCATAATTCTGTCAAAAAAATTGATGAAAAAAGCAAAAAAAAAAAAGGAAAATCAAATCAAAGAAACCGCGGATATATTGTATAAATAATGTAAAACGAAAAAAAAACAGAAAATAAACATAATGAAAGATTTCTTCTTACGGAAACTCGTCCGGTAGCCTATTATAATTCAGACCAATTATCATTACAGTAAATCATCTTCTAGTTATGCTTCACTCCGATTCTTATTATGATAACAAGAAGCACACAGCTGATCTTTGTAAGTTTCCGTCAGTTGACCGGAAGTTATGCAGTACCATCGGTACGCAAGTAATATGCACACGGATTCTCCCTCGCGAAACACGAATGGGGTACAGAGAAATACGTCCGGATACGTGCTGCCACAGAACGAACTCGCGAGATTCCTGACCATTGGACCGACTCTCGTGCATGCATACTTTAGCATAACGTTCTCTATACAATATCCAGAAAGAGGGACGAGGAGAAATGAGAGGGAAAGAGAGTTGGAGTGGGATGAAGGGAAAGTCAAGAGATAGAGAGAGATATGTATAACCACCCTCTTTTCCTCTCTTGCCTCTCTTCTTCATCGTCCTACCTCTCGTTGACCCCTTCCCATTGCCCTCGCGAATCGATTTGTTATTGTTTTTGTGTCTGCGGTCGTCGCAGCAAGCGGAGCGAGCGGGGTTGTATATCGGTGGGTGGTAAACCCGGCGACCAACACGAAGTGGGTGGAGGGGAGTATGGATGCCAGTCGCGCTCTCGCTGCTTCAAAGCGACGCTTTTCGGTCCGACAAAGAGGCGACCAGGAAGGGCGAATTGCACAGGGGTGGTTTGCTACCACCAGGTTGGATAGGAGGAAAGAGAAAGCCGCGTAAAAGAGCACTTTCAAAGCTCGAAAGAGAAGGACGAATAGATATAGCTAGCTGACCAATGGTGTACATCGAGTATATGTACCATTTTCTACTTCAATCAATTATTTTACTTTTACTATCTACTAAAAATATTATAATATTTCTTAATTTCAAAATAACTTGAATTAAATTGATACTTATATTTTCTTTCTTTAAGATTATTTTTATTTATTTATTATTTTTTATTTTTATTTTCATTTTTTTTAATATGTATTGATATATATA